CATCATGCTATGTTCCTGTTTTTGTTCATTTAAAATCATGAATCAAGGTAAAAATACCTTTTCTAACCTCTACCCTGCCTCTCTCATTGCTCAAGTAATGTAGCAACAACAATTCATAAGAGTATACAAGTTTCCAAATTTAGCAGTCTCAACCTTAATGAGTTGAGAGTAATGTTTTGACAGTTTAGAATATTCAACATATACAGCAACTGAAAAAAATATTAATATGGAGGATTATAGCTTTAAGAAAAGATGTGTGGTTACATCCCAAACAAATAATTGGTAAAACATTTTAAAATCCATGCAATGTACAAATATACCATGGAGTAACTTCCACTTAGATGACATTTATTGTGATGAAACATCACAAGGGATATTGCCAGGAAGTGGGCATTGTGAAGCAGGAGTCAGAAGTGTTGAGAAATAGTGGAGTTATAAGACATGTGTGCAGGCTTTGGACAGGTTGTTATTCTGTTAACACAACAGTATCATGTTTTGAATGTTTAGAAAATGCACTGCCCAGCAAAGGCCATCATGAACAAGCACTTTTTCTTCCACATAATGTCTTCATTTGAAACTTTTATTGGAATTCACCTTTAAGTCATTGTAACATGGTGCAGTTTCAAGCTGCATTTAAAGTTGCCTCAAAGACTTTCATTAAATGGTTCATTAATCTGAAATCAGTTGCTATTTTTAATAAATTTGAGAGCGTCTTTTTCATAATTTGTGTGAAGTTGAATTGACTGAGGAGGGAACTAAATGTAATTTGTCACCAACTGCAGTCTGACTCAGTGAACATGATACTGTCTTATCATCAACTCACTGACTCTCATTAAGTGGGACTCAATATCACAATTGATTTAGCTACAAAGCAAGGAAAATTGTTTTGGCATACTCCTGCACCTTTCTCAACCTGAAATCTTCATCAGTCTGCAGCTATCTTGAGACTTTTTATAAATTTTGATGTGTGATTTATGGTTGTTATTAAAGATACCTCCTAGATTAGTGGATAAGAAGGATATGTTTCAGATTGCCAATTTTTTTTTGCATGTCGTGTTCATCATCATATTCTGAAAGTATCTCCAATTTCCTGCATGCACTCCACAGTTCAATGGAGAGGAACCATTAATAAATATATTCATTGGTTTTGAATATCGCATGAATGTCTTAATGTGTAGTCTTTTGTATTTGCTCATTTTAAATATATAGGATTCTCTACAGAATTCTGGTGATTTCATTTTCTCGCACGATTTAAATGTGCTGGATGGCTTAGTGTATATTAAGCAAAGGAGACCATCAATTTTCAACAAAAAGGAAAATTGACAATTGTACCTTTTTTAAACTGTTGTTGAATGGGAAAGATAAGTTTTTTTTTCATTTAACATTAACACTAGTTACAGGAACTATGTTGAATCCTCTCCCTGAAGATGTGTTTTGGGATATTTCAATCTTGGTTTCATATTCAGAAGGTTAATCCAGTTTTATGATTTTTTTTGGAATTGATCAACCTTCCTAGCCATATTTTATGGTGCTCATTTCCTTCATTTGTTGATCTTTGATCGTTATCTTTGAGAACTTCGTTTTATTCTCGTGTAGCACATGGGCGCCACTGGCTGGCCAGCATTTATTACTTGTCCCTAGTGGTGTTGAGCTGCCTGTTTTGAACTGCTGCAGTCCATCTGCTGTAGGTAGACCCACAGTGCCCTTTAGGGAGGGAATTCCAGGATTTTGACCCAGCGACTGTGAAGGAATGGTAATATTATTTCCAAGTCAGGATGGAGTGGCTTGGAGGGGGACTTGCAGCTGGTGGTGTTCCCAAATATCTGCTGCCCTTGCCCTTTTGGATGGAAGTGGTCATGGGCTTGGAAGGTGCTGTCTAAAGGTCTTTGGTGAAGTTCCGCAGTGCGTCTTGTAGATAGTACACACCTCTACTACTGAGTGTCAGTGCTGCAAGGTGTGAAGGCTTGTGGATGTGGTGCCAATCAAGTGGCCTGTTTTGTCCTGGATGGTGTAAAGCTTCTTGGGCGTTGTTGGAGCTGCCATTATCAGGGCAGGTTAGGAATATTCCACCACTTCTGACTTGTGACTTGTATATGGTGGACAGGCTTTGGGGAGTCAGGAGGTATGTTACTTGCTGCAGTAGTCCTAATATTTGACCTGCTCTTGTAGCTACTGTGTTTATATGGCGAGTTGAGTTTCAAAGTTAACTCCGAGGATGATGACAACAGGGAATTCAGTGATGGTAATGCCATTGAATATCAAGGGACAGTGGTTAGATTGTCTCTTATTGGAGATGGTCATTGCCTGGCATTTGTGTGACATGAATGTTACTTGCCAGTTCTCAACCCAAGCCTGGCTATTGTCCAAATCTTGTTATATTTGAACATGGACTACTCAGTATCTGAGGAGTGATGAATGGTGCTGACCATTACACAGTCATTGGCAAATGTCCCTACATCTGAATTTATGTTGGAGTGAAGGTCATTGATGAAGGGGTTGAAGATGTTTGGGGCTAGGACACTACCCTGAAGAACTCCTCCTGCCTAGATGTCCTGGAGCTGAGATGACTGACAAGCACAACCATCTTCCAATTTGCCAGGTATCACGTCCAGGTAGTTAGAAGAGGAGTGCAGACTGTTAAAGTTTCCCTAAGCTATTCCTTTAGATGCTGCCAAACTTGATGAATTTGCACTTCTATGTTTAAATTCTCTCATTTACAACCATGAATCCTCTATGAAGAAAGCTGTAATCTTCTGTACTACTATCTACTACTTTTCAGCTGCTATATATTATTGTTTTTTCTATATTGTCAATAACATTGCCTTTAATTCATTCCAGTAGAGAATATGTAATTCAGAAAGTTGCACACTGCTGTGGTCTTTTGTTTCTACATCGAGTAAGAGGACCTACCATTATAGATCCTGGACAGAGCTCTGACCCAGTTTCCTTGTGTATCTTTAATGAATTTTGCTATCACATCAATGTTAGCCAATGGACATGGGCATGCTTTAATTGAGTCACCATCCATGCAGAACCAAGAACAATAAGCATCTATTTGCTACCTTGGATGTGATAAAATATCATTGCAAGTAATTGATCTAAAATTGACAATCCCAACAATGGCAATGTTAACATGTATGATTGAATAAGCAGTAAAAGTTAGGTTTTATGGGGCATTTTAAAATTGGAGCTTCAGAGAAGAATTCTGTATCTTAGAACTTTGACAACTGCAGGCATAACTGAGGGTGTGGCAGTGGTACTGGGGGATGCATAAGAGGCCGATAGGGTAAGATGGCAATGAACACATATTGTTGGTTAAGATTTGTGTTTCATGTTGGTACATTGCGAGTGTTAAGAATATTATTTTTCTGTCCCTTTCTCCACCACTTTTAATTTTCCATGGAAATATTCTTCTATTCCTTTGCTACCATCCTTGTTCTGCTACAGATTTTGCAGAGCTGAGCGATTGCAATACTTGTTCCCTTTGGAGAAGCTTTGTTGCTTTTCCTTCCTGTCTGGAAGTGAATAGTCACTCACAATGTAGGGAACTGAATGTGTACAGCTGCATCCTCCCTCTCCCAAATGCAATGTGTTCAAAAACTGTTATATTTTGCAAAGTACACATGGTTTCCATGAATGTTATGGCTTGTCTTTTCAGATGTACTCAAAAGATGCAACATTGAATCAAATTTTGTGAAAACAAAATCTCTCATCAAATTTTCAAAAAATATTACAGTAGTTCTTCAAAAATTGCATTATTAGTTTAAAGAAAATTGGTTCTTGGAATTCCTTGTAATGAAAATACAATCTAAAACTCAGTAATGTTATGAAATTAATTGCTTAAGTGAGAGATATCTAAATTAGCACACCTCCAAATAGAATGTGCATCATTATTTGCCCCTAAAGTCTATACAAAAGGGATTTTAGTGTAAGATTGAAATTTAAGAGTAACTGATTAGATCTGTTACAGAAAGAATTCTCTTGAAAAAGAAAACATTGGCGAGTTTAAATTGGTCAACTGTTGTTCATGGGAGATGAAGGCAGTTGTGGGCAATGAGGATTAAAGTCAGGCAGATGTAGCATATATTGGTAGCTGAAAAATTGTTAGGTTTGGACTGACTGGGACTGCCTGCCTGACTACAAAGAAGCCAATTGAAACAAAGTGCCTTTTCGGCTGTCAACCAAACTGTTTGCTTTTACTGTTCTACGGCTGTCCAAGTAGACAAGGTTGAACTTAGGGTGGCTAAGAAAGTATTAATTTTATATATAGACAGTTACAAACAGTTACAGTCTGACAACTGCCAGACGCCATAGCCAATTATTTCTTATGCTTTGTTTTGGATTGTGATTGAACCACACGCTTCTGTTTCTGTAAGTATTTTGTGTCTTCCACCTAAACACTCTTAATGACAATACTGCATCAGAAATTAAATGGCTTTCAAGCTGTAGCCTGCAAACAGATTTGAAACATCTAAGTATTTCCTGTGATTATACCGGCAAACCCAGCTGTTATTAGATGTGAAATTTATGAACCGGATATTGTGTGTTCTCTTGGGAGTTGAAAAAGGAGGTAACTGCAGTACTGCATACAAACAAGGCATTTTCAGTTCTTAAACTGGGTTGGTAAGAGGTGACTGTAGAATCAGTTGTTTTGTGGTTTGGAATAGCAATACGTTAAGGATTGTTGACCAGAAGTTCAAGTTTGAACTTTTTTTTAATCCACAAAAATACTTCAGGCTTGTATGTTCAGTTCATTCTTCTGTATACAGTTCTATTCAGTTGATTTATTGTGAAACAAAAGAGACAGGAAGTGGCAACAATTATTTTTGCAATTCATTTTGTGCCAGAATTATCTTAAGTTCAAAATCACACGTATTCTTATGGAAAATAACAATAAAATAAACATCTTCTGTGGAGATGTTCCCTGTGCAGATGAATGTTTGAAGAATAATTCTGGAAAACGTTTTTTTACAAACAGAAAAACCGCATTTAATCAAATATGAGCTGAAATGTAATAGCCCGTTTATTTGGGTGATAACCAGTTTGTTGACACAAATATAACAAAAGGTCAAGGTCAGTGTAAATAAAACAACTTCAGAGATAATGACAGCTGTTGAAATTGAAGGAGCTGATTAACTTGCACTCTTACTTGAAGAGCAGACACATTTCAGTGTGTTAAATAATGACACTTCTTCCAATATGTAATATAAAATGGCACTTTATTCTGCATAGTCTTGATTAATGTTTCTCATACAACCCTTTTAACATTAGGTTAGTCGTATAATTAGAGCTAAGATTGTAGCAATTTGTTTTGGCAAGTTTGTTATTACTGCCAATTACAAAACATTACAATCAGTACAAAAAGACCTGCCCACCAGTTAATGTATTGGGTAGCTGAGACATTAATTCACATGAGTATTTCTGTGGGTGGAAAACCACTACTCTTCATTCCTAAAAGAATTGAGCTCCATTATAATGGTAGCATGTCCATTAGGAGAATTAAGCTATATAGGAGTATGCGATTAAGTAAAGTAATCTATAGGTAAGAAAAAGTAAAATCTTTGTGTCAAAATTTTTGAAGGTGGTTTAGAAAAATGAATACAGTACAAAAAGGAGTATCCTAGGTAGGAGTGCAATTAGTTATATTCTTATTGAGCCAAAGACTGCAATCACCAGTCTATTTTCTTAACATTATCATGATTACACAGGCCATGATGTAACAGTGCCAGTTGCAACTTATGAGCCAAGACAATAAGAACAAGGAGATACAATGCCTATCCTTGCAGTATCTGATATGTACATGATTTTAAAAGATCAGCACTTTAATTACAATAGAATGGTTTTGTTAACTTTTTATTTGTTTTCTGCTTATTCAGAGTGAAGTCGTGCTGAGATAGAATGAGACATCATAAGATTCACAGCTCATTTTGTTAGCATTAAAGTCTCTTTTCATCCATATTGTTTCTTGCTTCAGCAAAATGTTTCACTGAATCTTTTTTTATTGATCTTCTATTCATTGCTGTTTATGAAAGTTGTGAGACAGTGGGAATAGCTTCAAATATATTTATAGCTAAACAGAAAGAGCTCACATGTCCATATTAGTATTGTCTATTTTTTTTTGAAAGTGCTTGAATATCAGCCCTTGCTTTCCAATAATTCATTACTGTATACCTTCTCTTTATTTACACTTTCTTAGAGACCAAGTAGTGACCTTCTTTCCAAACCACCTGAAGTTGTTTCCCTTGAGTCAATATCTGAAAGAAAGGCAAAAAAATTAGAAAGCCTTGTATTTCATTTTCAATTTCAACCTTGAGAAGGTAGTAATCTTAGGCAGTCCCTTGGGCTCGAGGATGACTTACTTCAAATCCAGTTCAGTGAGTTCTGAAATGGCTGATAAGTCCAATATGTGATCTTCAGACTCTGCCATATGCAGGGCACATGGTGCTTGAATGGTTGGATAGATAGGTTGTTTGGAGATTTGTGCAGGATGTGGTAGGTTGTTGTGACAGGTGATAGGTGGAACTGTCTAAAAAAGGAATAATCTTTGTTAAACATGTCTGTTAAAACTGTACAGTGCAGACTTTTCACATTCTGAAATGTGCCTTAATGTAGAGTCAAGTCTAACAGATTTTTCAAACTTAATTAGCTGTGGCAGTTAAGTTAAAGTACAAAATATTAAATATTGAGTATCGAAAGCTGAACAAGAAGATTATTTTTCTTTTCCAGTATTCTACAGCAGAGACTGCTACACTTATCTCTGTTTGACAGTTGGACTTTTGTTGAAGAGCAGTCTAATATTGATGCAGACATGAATTTTTTTTTTGCTGATAACAAAATTGTACCAATCATACTGTCACTAAAGTAATGATCTTTAACGCATCTCAACTAGCAAATGTGATCAGAACCATTGACTTTACCTCTAACGCCAGGGGTTCCCAAACCACGAGCCGTGATCCCTGGTGATGTCACAGATGTCACATGTGGAGTTGTAATCAGTCCCTTCTCTGAGGCAGCAATGGCAGCTGGGGAGAGGCGACTGCTCAGCCTATATGTTTGGACATGACGGCCCTCCAGCTCCTGAATCAATGTCACCGTGTAACAAAGAGAGACAGTGAGCTTGAAATACCCTTTGAACATTAGAAACAACTTTTAGTGATAAGTTTGAATAGAACTGGGATATTTGTGTACTGGCTGTGCAGGCAGAGACCAGCAAGTGAAACACTAGTTTTGGAGGAAAGGGGAGGGGACAGGGGCTGGTGAACATGTCTGGGTGAATAGGAGGGAGTTCTGGAAGAGAGACTGTTGAGTGAGTGTGAGAGAGGGGAAGATACGGAGGGGGGAGGGGTGCTAGTATTTATTTGCAGAGAAGGAGATCTGAGAAATGGGGCAAATGTGTGTATGTGCGTAATGGGGAGAGAGAGGGGCGAGTGGTGGAGAAGAGAGCTTTCACTGAATCTTCTCGAGGAATATGGCAAAGCTTGCCTGAAAACTACATGGCTACATTTTAACAAAGTACTTTGAAAGCAAAGATTTTCATGGGCAACGCTGGCTGGCTGGCATTTATTGCTTTTGAGAAGGTAGTGGTGAGCTACCTTCTTGAACCACTGATGTTTATGTGCTGTGAATTGACCCACAATGCACTTAAGGAGGGAATTCCAGGATTTTGACCCAGCAACAGTAAAGGAATAATGATATATTTCCAACTCAGGATGATGAGTGATTTGGAGGGAACTTGCAGATGGTGGTGTTCCCATGTGTGTGCTGCCCTTGTCCATCGAGATGGAAGTGGTCATGGGTTTGGCAGGTGCTGTTTCAGGATCTTAATACACAAACTATAATAATAACATTATCATGATTACACAAGCCATGATGTAACATGTTATGTTGGTGGGTTATGCTAATTATCAAGTGTTAAAATAGGGTCCCATTGGAAAATAGTTTGGGAGGCATTGTCATATACAGCCATTTCCATTTGGTTACATCTGTGCTACTTTGTGTAGATCAGACTTCAAAATATCGACTAAGTTGTCCAGAATTTCAAAAAAAGCAGTGTTATATGAAAGGAATGTTACTTCAGTAAAATGCCACAAGTATCCCTGTTGTATGCAATGACATATTCGGCAAAACTATGTGGCTATATCAAAGAAAAAATGGACCAGACATCAGGCCACCATAAGGTAGCAATGATTCTTTGCCCTTGCTCAATTTGGGCACAGCTTTCTGCTGGAATCACTGCATTTACCCTGTATAGATTAGATATATTCTAGTAACAACTTCTGATTAGTACAATATGCAGTTGTAGGGTGAGTTATCCGATGAGGATTGAGTACCATACTACCTCATGACCAACAGCCACTTCTTGTATTCTGTCATTTTCAATTATAATTAGTCTTCTGTTGAAAAATTAGACACAAATAATGTAATGTAGAAATGCACAAGAATGGAATCTCTGTTTGAATCCCATTAATTTCATTTATCTTGCATTTCTCACATGAATTTAATAAGATGTCCTCTAATGAGTTACCATATTCAATGTTGAAATATTGTTGGATACTTCACTGGAAGTGGCCACCAAACATTGAAAAGTTTGTCCAATCATTGTCAGAGTTGTTTTGACTGTGGGAAATCACTTCACCTGAACTTTGGTCCTCTCTTGTCCTTGCTTAACATCTAGTCGCAGCAGTGATCACAATGGTCAGGAGCAAAGCTGACCTACTTCTCTTAACCCACCAAAGTGATATTGAGAGTTATTAAGAACTGCTGATGCTGGAGTCTGAGATAGCACAGTGTGGAACTAGAGGAACACAGCAGGCCAGGCAGCAACAGAGGAGCAGGAAAGCTGACGTTTCAGGTCTGGACCCTTCTTCAGAAATGGGGGAGGGAAAGGGAGCTCTGAAATGAATAGAGAGGGGGAGGGTGGTGATAGCAGGTAGCTAGTGCTGGGGATTGATCCGTGAGGTGGGAGGTGCGGATAGGTGGGAGAGAAGACTGAAAGACTATCCGTCTTCTCTCCCACCTATCCGCTCCTCTCACCTCACTGACCAATCCCCACCACTACCTACCTGCTATCACCATGCCCCCCTCCCATTCATTTCAGAGACCCCTTCCCCTCCCCCATTTCTGAAGAAGGGTCCTGACCCGAAATGCCAGCTTTCCTGCTCCTCTGATGCTGCCTGGCGTAACGTGATATTGAGGTTGTCTGATAGTTAGCTCAGCACCTGTTAATTGTCTTGCTGACGTTCGTTGCTTTGATCCAGGGGTCTGAACATGTGACTTGTCTTGACTGTCTAGTTCTAAAGGACATTGCCTCCCAACTGTACAACCAAGAATATCTCTAAATGTAATGATAAGTGAAGTTATGTACGTTCATACGAAATAAATTGTATGCAGAAACTATTCTGTTGATTTAACCTGTGCACCTATGTATTTGCATCAGAAAAAAGATTCTGAAGAGAGAGTATGCTTTTTGACCCTTCCTTGCTTTGTGCTTTCTTTCAGATCACGTCTAATGCCGAGGTTGAAAGAATCACGTTCTCACGAGTCTTTGCTCAGTCCTAGTAGTGCTGTGGAGGCATTGGATCTCAGTATGGAGGAAGAAGTCGTGATTAAATCTGTTCACAGTAGTATCCTGGGACAGGATTATTGTTTTGAGGTAAGCAGAGAAGCACCAAAATTCAGTGTTTTCACCAACTAGTCATTAGGTAATTTTTCTGATTTGCACAGCAGTAACTTACCTTATCAAATGGATTGTTGAACCAAATAGCAAAACTCAGAACTTACAATATTTAAGAAAAATCAAAGTGTTTTAGAGTGAAACTGAAAAGAATCGGTTTCTGGGCCACATTGGAAACATTAGAAGAACAGATTGAAAGGTTGATTTTAAGTTGGCCTTTGAACCTACAAATTGAAGAAGATTGCTGGAGTGCTTTAGGCAGAGTAAAACTTAGGTGGCTGAAAGCCCTGTCACAAAGACTGAGGCAATGTAGAATGTGCTGGAGTGGGAAGAAAATGCATAGAAGGCCAAATTCTAAAGGATCTTGAGAGACTGAAGAGATTATGAAAGGATTTAAAGATGAGGATGAGGCTTTTGCTTATTGGTATCACAGTGTCATTATTTTCCACTCAATAATGGGCCTTCTGTTTGAAAAGTGGTTAAATTGCACACCTCCCTTCACAAATGGTGCTAAGTAGAGGATATCTTTTCAATAAAGACAAGCCATTTCATAAATTTCAAAGACTCTCAACTCCAGTTAACATTTTTCACACGAATGAAAGGTACCCACTGCTGCTGCTAAGGAATGTTGCATATTCAGTAGGCAGAGATCTCCTTATACAATCTTAAGGATCCATTGTGGAATACCAAGCACTGCTGCAAAAGCTATCAGGTGTCATTTCGCACCACTGACTTCTTATTTTTGAACTTCACACGTATAAAGTAACAATCCTATAGTCAATGAATTGACATTCAACTTTATTCAAAGGGACATTATCACGGGAGACTGATTTCTAATTACTACTCACTGCTTAATCTCTTTCTGTAAGTTTTTATTGCAGCTGCACAAAGAAATTTGTTAAACATTCAGCCTTGTGAAAGGTAAAGTATTTTTATCTGCCTTTTCTAAATAATGTTTGTTGACCTTTCTTAGAAAACTAAAAATAAAAAGTCTTCTGCGACTTTTCTACTGGACAGAAATTACTGTCACCGTTATTAACACATGGGAATTCAGTGGTTTAATGCCTCTGCTATTTCGCAGGCTTTTAAATGTACTATTCCATCGAAATATCATCCAAGGAAATCCGACATCATTTTAAGTATTCATCAATCAATAGAAATAACAATAACTTGTAAATTCACATCTGGTGATGTAAGTAATCTACAAATGAAAGTTCTTTTAGTTTTTACTGGTGATTAGTGTATAAACTTGTGTGATAGAGTACTGTAAATGCAGCTTTGAACAGTTTCGAGTTGGAGCTTCTAAGGCGATTGTTGGAGAATTTGAGTCTGATTGCACAGTTTTTTATGGGTAGGTGATGCAGTTTAACGGTCAGCTCATGATCAAATAGGGGGGAAAAAAGCATGGTTGACAACTTTGGCAATAGATGAGCTATGCCAGGATGGATTCAAGCCATGTTACAAAATTGGAAATGTGCCCTCTTAATTTAGTAGATATAGTAAGCAGACTGAAACTCGCATCAGGGATGAAATATGATACCAAAGTTGTTCATTGTTTGATACAATTTCAGGCAATTGCCAGGAAGAGGGATGGAGTCACTGTCCAGGAAGTTGTAACAGGAAACAAAGACAGTGGCTTTGGTCCATTCAGTATTTACATGGAGAAAATTATTGTTCATTTCGTATTGGTGTCTGACAAACGTTTGACAATTTAGAGACAATGGAGGGGTTAAGGGAGGTAATGGTGAGATTGAACTGGATGTTATTAGCACCCATGTGGAAATTTGTTGTGTTTGGATAACGTCATCAGGCATTGTATAGATGAATAAAAGGAGAGGGAAAAGGAGATATCAGAGGTACTAGTATGGGAGCTATGTGGATAGTTTGTTAAGAATGGAACAAGGGAAGTGCAGTTCTGTTTGGGGGAGAGGTGTTGGAGAAGGGTGTGGTCAACAAGAGAAGGGATAGTTTACCTTTTGTAAGAATCACATTAGATGCCATTTTTGACTTTGGTAAGAGCTGTCTGGTACTCTGATGTGGAAGACACCTGATTGGAGTGATGCAAGCATAAAGTTCTAGAGAGGATGGGCACAATCATAGAATTGTACAGCATGGAAACAGACCTACAGAGGTGACATGCAAAGGCAGGAAAGGATGGTTTGAAGTTGGGTGATAATGTCCAGGGATGGAGGGGGCTCAAGTGTTTTTTTTGAGGCAGGGATGGTGATTGATTTCAGCAGATTTGAAGGAGGACAGCACCTCGGAACAGTCAGCTAGTGAAAGTGTCTGTTTGCTGGAAGCCAGAAAAGGAATGTGGGTGGTCAACAGCTTAGCAGGAATAGAGTCAAAGGAGCAGGAGCTGGGTCTCATGAGCAAGATGAGCTCATAGCAGGCAGAAGAAATAAAAACAGGAGTTGACAGTTAATGTTTGATGCAATTCAAGAATAATAGCAAAAAAAACAGTCCCATTCTACTGGTTAGGCTGAACATTATAGGAAGTAATTGTTACAGAAAATTTTCTCCCACTGAAATGTTAATAGAAGAGATTGTGTCTCAGTAAAATACTTCTTCTTCTTAATCTTTATTTCTCATTAATACCATGATACAATTCTCCACTGATATCTCTATCATTTTTCTTTGAGAGGTTTTCTATTTTCCTGGGAGTGCGCTGTCCAGACTGGACTTCTTCATAGCTGGCATCAATCCCAGTCCTCTAAAGCTGTCATGGGGCAATGTTAAAATGTTTTTAATGCCGACATACAATTGAATGATTTGATAACGTCTGAAGCTCTGCCCAGTCGTGGACTAATGATCAGGAATGAATAAAACAGTCCTACCAGCAGCCTGGATCCCTTGCCTAACAACGTGACTACTAGAAAGTCAGCCATCATATAATTTGGGTACTGGCACCCAACTGCATACCCTTTCTCATTTTGAAAGGAAAAACAAACCTGTGGAATTGTTTTCATATTTTATCCATGGATGTGTTTCTTATAGTTTTACGCATGTGGAAAAAATAATAATCTTTTGTGTGTGTTCATAGACAGTCGGTGGAAAGAAGGTACAATTCTTTTCAAGAGTTTCTATCAATACATTAAGATAATTTAAATAGTAAATTATATTGAATATGTATGTTTAGCAGTTTCATTTCTCTTGCATGCTATATTAAATTTAAAAAATCTACACTTGAATGTAGCCCATAATTCTAGTGATTTATCAATTCATGTAAATATTTAATACATCTTAAGCATATTACAATTTTCCTCAGACCTGGTCCAGCTGCCTACTTGCATATTCAAAGAATCATTTTCTCTCCTACACTTATATATACATAAAAAATACTGACCGCAGAATCACAAGTAGATTTAACATCAGTATAAGGGTTTTTTTAAATTTATGGGTCCTTTTGCTTACAAGATCAGACACACAATTTGCACTAAATCTGGAGCACTTCCTTAGTTACACCATTGTCTAGGTTTTGCAAAATGAATTAATGTACAAATGTTTAATTCAAAAAATTTTAGGTCTCCCATTGTGAATTATTGAAGTTTGTTGCTCTCCTACTCTTAATTGAAATAGTGTTTCCCAAACATTTATCCTCCCTTCAGGCATGCTACTCTGATTCTTATTAGTTTCTGGTTTAATCCCTATGTAACATGAAACTTAAACATACGGAAAGCCCAAAGATCATGAAGCAGAGATTCCTTATTCCACTGGCAATAGGGCATTACAAACATGAATTAAAATTAAGATTTGAACATCTGGTTGTGTAAACCCTTTATCTCTCTGACCCTTTTCCCCAGCAGATCGCCCTCCCCAAAGGCACTGTTTCCTTCCAAGAGGATCTGTTTGACTGCCCCAGCTATTCTGCTTGGAACATTCCCTTACTGTTGACATTTGTTGCTCGAGCTCCTGGTGCAACTGTTCCAGTGGCCCTGTTCAGTGACCTCCCTCACCAGCACCACCTGCTGGTTCCTTTACACCCTTCCCTGCTTGAGCAATGCTGTCCTTGCTACTGCACGTGCCTCACAATGACCATTTGATGAGCAGGTTCAATGTGCCATAGCAGCTAGAATGTGATCATGGCAAATGATAAGGGTTGGGCTGATATTCAGTATTTGCTCGAAACAACCTTCTCAGCCTCTCATCCTTATTGGCACGAGATCTAGTCTCTAAGGCATATCACACATGTTGGGGTGTAGGCCAGTCAGCTTTCCTGGAAGCATACCATCAGCAGCACCTGTTGCTTTAGTTTCTGCCTCCGGGCAGGGTTTGCCTGTGTGTTTTCCAGGGTGAGAGTAGATTTCCTCACACCAGTGCCCCCCCCCTTGGATTCACGACACTCACAAGTCAATTCACAAACCCCCAACTGTCTGACCCCACTGAAGCTATCCTAGAGTAGAGTCATGTAGCATAGAAACAGACTCTTTGGTCCACTATGTCTCTGTCAACTAACAAACAACAAACTACACTAGTCCCATTTGCCTATACTTGGCCTATAGCCTACTGTGCCCTGGCATTTTCAGTGGCCATCCAGATACTTCTTAAATGTTACGAGAATACCTGCCTCCACCACCCTCTCAAGCAGTTCTATTTTCTAAGGGTGACATTTTTTTTCTCAGATCTCCTCCAAACCACTTGCTCCTCACCATTAACTTACGCCGTCTGGTCTTAGACACATCTGCTATGGGAAAAAGAATCTCACGGTCTACCCTGTCTGTGCTTCTCATAATTTTGTATACCTCAATTAGATCTCCCCCTCAGCTTTTTCCGCTCCAAGTAAAACAAACCCAGCCTATCCAGTTTTTCCTCATAACTGAGACTTTTTATTGTAGGCAACATCCTAGTGAATCTCCTCTGCACCCTCTCCAGTGCAATCATGTCCTTTCAATAGTGTGGCGACCAGAACTGCACACAGTATTCCATCAGTGGCCTAACCAGTGTTTTATAAAGTTGTAACAAGTCTTCCTTTCTCCTACATTCTACGTGACATTTGTTGGCCAATGAAGGCAAGCAGCCCATATGCCCTCTCCACCACCCTGTCTACCTGTGCTGATACCTTCAGGGATCTGTGGATTAAAGTCCCTATGTTCCTCAGTACTCCCAAGGAACCCACCATTCATTGTGTGTATCCCTCCCTTATTAGAGTTCTCAAAATGCATCACCATGCATTAATCATCAGGATTTAATTCTGTCTGCCATTGCTTAGCCCAGTTTACCAGCTGAACAATATCAGACTGTAGCCAGAACAAAGGAACCACGTTAGCTATCCTCCAATCATCTATCACTTCTCCTGTGGCCAGCAAAGTATTAAATAAATCCATCAACGCTGCAGCAACTCCTCTCTTGCCTCCCATAGCAGTCTGGGATATTTCATCAGGCTGTACATATTTATGCACCTTTATGCTCACTAAAATATCTGATACCTCCTCTTTATTAATCTTAACATGCTGTAGAACGTCACCATCCCAACTGAAATCCCCAGCTTACAATATCTTTCTCCTCTGTGAATACAAATGAGAAATATTCATTTAAGACCTCACTTACGTCCTCTGGCTTGCTCTGATACTCAGGTTATGCAATGAGTGAGTTCTATCCACCCCACATCATCCACCTGACTTCTAGCCTCAGGCAACTCCATTCTGTGTATAGTTTTCTGCTCTCAAGCTGCCAGTTCAACAAAATGGGTGTGGCCATCTGTGTCTGGCTGCTTAATTATTCTGTGCTGTTCAGGTTCCCACATGTTATGTATCTTATTCCAACCCTTAATATTACAGCTTCAGTTTTGTATCTTTGCACCGATTGGAAGCCTTCTGATTATTCAATTATTTTCATCTCCACTCTTCTGTCTTAGTTCTCTTGAATGCTGTCTGGAAGCCTCATTCACTGCTTGGCTATCCACTCAGTAGCCTGGTCGTCTGCATCAGAAGGTGTGGTGAGCCCAAGGCAATGGTCCACCGGAAGGCCTGAGTCAAAAGGAAGTGTAGAGAATAGACTGTAGATGAGTGTGGGATGCAAATATAAGCATAAATTAGCTCTGGAAGGTACTCATTTTGTTTACTGTTAGGGGGCAATGTGCACAGATGGTCCTGCAGAGCAGTGTTGAATCATTTGCACAACACCTTACCCTCTGGATGATTGGAGCTGGTGCTGTTCTTGGCAGTGCGGTAGACTTTGCAAAGTCTCTGAAGGATCTTGCTCTCAAAGTTGTACCAACACAGAACATTGAAACGGACAAACCAGTCTTGTAGTAATCCTCTGGCTGTAGTTGAGGCCTTTTGATCATGGGTGGGAATGGCCTGCATGAACTTGAAAATGTCTGAGAGTCCTGTCACTACTGGGATCATTTGAGATAAAATCCATTGCAAAGACCTCTAGATGTCTGTTGATGTCCAAGGATCTCATGCTGGGTGAACTTACTTCCCTGCTTCACCCAAATCATACCTCTGTCAATTTTGACAGTAATCATTACTATCAGGCACTGTCCCAAGTCAGCAATGCCATTTTCTGGTCAGGCCAGTTTTCTTTTCCATCATTTGATGTCTAGCTTGATCATCATCTGCCGCCATCACTTGAGGTTGTCAGAATGGTTGAGTTGCTTCACCTGTCTCTCATTGTTATAAACCAGTCATTAGGAGACTCCATCTTCCTTTTTTATGCTCTTCCTGCACCTCAACAGTTTCCAAGCCTGTTTGGACTGACTTAACCAGCTGGCACTGGGTGAACACAAGTTGGGCCTTCCAATGATGGTGCAGGCAACTGATGTCCATATCAATCAGCTGAAGTGTCTGAGGTCCTTTTATGAGATAGATGGTAAAGGTGAAACCACACCTGGCTGGACCTCTGGAACAAGTTTGGATCTCATCCAATCATGCATTGGTGACATTCCACTGAATTTTAGTCTGATTTCACAGGGAATCGGGTCAGAATGCTGAGTTTGCCTTAAAGCACGGGCACTGCATCAGCTACAACCTCCTGTAGCAGAGTAGGAATGGGTGCCGTCTCGTGGTCAGTCTTCTGAATAAGAAAGCATTTGCATTACTTTTGCCTGACCTATACTGGATCCCTTGGCATGAGTCTTCAGGTGAGTAAAAGAAGAGCCTAATTGCCTGCTACTCAAACAGTTCTAGAGTCTTAAACAAGCTAAAATATCTTGAGTGCACAGAGCAAAGTCAAAAACTCATGAGCCCCAACTGCTGACTTCATAATCTGGTGTTCATAATTGTCACCATACCAGCTTTCTAAAGACAACCACATATCACTTAAGACATTCTTAATTTCACTTAGTTAAACAATTCTAGAATTATAAAGCTCATCGCAGTGCTGGTGACCATGTTTATGAAAGTGCAGCTGGTTCACTAATGTCCTTTACAAAGGAAATATGCTTTCCTTGCCCAGTCTGGTGTATGTGTGATTTCAGATTCTCATCAACTTGTTTGAGTCTGAACTGCTTCCTACAATGGCTTACCAAGCCACTCATTTGTATTCAAGAAGGTGACTCACCATCATTCTCTCAAGGGCAGTCAGGGATGAGTAATAAATTATGGCCTTAGCAATAGTATACCACATTCCATGAATAAATGTAAAATAAAGTCAAGAGGCCCAAATCTTATTTGCAAGGTTGGGCCTCCCCTGCAGTAAGCTACGAGCATCCTTTGAATCCTGACAGGCAACTCAAAGAAATGAGCCAGAGCTTATTAAAAATGATGCTCGCTCAAATTGGTAATTGTTAATGTCTCCTGGGTTATTGCTAATCATATAATATTGCAGTAAATTCATCAGATAATCAGAACTTCTCAAAGTGAGGATTGAATGAAGAATTGTATATGTATACAATATAAATAATGAAGTTCGCTAATACTTGCTAATATGCAATCCTCCTAGGTCAATCCACTTTTAAGCTCCCTCATTAACTGAGAAAAACATGTGAAGTAGACTGGGGGCAGATCTTAATTTCTTGTTTAGACACTGTTGTTCAGTCCAGATAATGTCTATCAGACTATTTTAATGCTCAGTTGACTATGTTAATACATTATAACATTGTGTATGCATTAATAAGCATTCCAGGTCACCCATGTTATTACTTCCTGTTATGGGAGTGGGTTAATTGTAATCTAACAGTAAACACTTCAACCAGATCTTCCACTGCATTTATGTTATTGAGATCAGTATGAGTGTTTTAAAAAAAAAGGTCTCCAGGCCATTGAATAACTGAAGCAAAACTATCCGAATCCTTAAACAATGGTTTGTAACAGCTACACATGCCCACAATTCAGATTATGACCAAAATGGACTTTGCCTTGGTGCCATTCCTGCTTTGATCATTTGGCAGTTTGGATGCAAAATATCTATTCTTCATTATTTTGAACATGTTCTATGTGTAGTTACGAAATTTAAGTATAATGTTAAACTGATTCATGGTGCATTATTTATTGTAATTCTAACTTGTCAAAGCATTGAAGACTATACCACCTCAATTTTTAAATAACATTTAGCAGTAATTTCATGAAACTGCAGTTCATTGACATACAAATTCTATGTTTTTCAAAAATGTAAATGTTTTTAATTTAATATGATGTCTGAGCCACTAATCTGCAAGACGCACTATTTAATTGCAGCATGACATATTAAAGGATTTGCGTTCAAATAACAATTCCTACCATCTTTGAAATTACATTAATGCTTTTGTTGTCATTGTGAAATGAAACCCTTAGTGTTGAAATGTATCCATGTAACCAAAGTGACAGTTGCTGTCTATCGAGCAAAATGCTACACTCTCAACCTGTTTCAGAGATATTAGAAACTGCAGATGCTGGAGAATCTGAGATAACAAGGTGTAGAGCTGGATGAACACAGCAGGCCGAGCAGGAAAGCTGACGTTTTGGGTCTAGACCCTTCTTCAGAAAAGAAGAAGGGTCTAGACCCGAAACGTCAGCTTTCCTGCTCCTCTGATGCTGCTTGGCCTGCTGTTCATCCAGCTCTACACCTTGTTATCTCACACTCTCAACCTGGGCAGTTTCTTGTGAAGTTGTTAAATGTTTTCCAAGGATTACAACTTTTCCAAGATGCGATTATTCATCTATAAATATATTTTTTAATCTCTGACATCTCAGCTTAACCTGAGCTTGTCCTTGCCCAATATGAGCATGCATCCTATCAGAACAAGAATCTGTTAGGAGGAGGAACGTAAGCTATTTACGAGGGAAGTAATCCCATAACCAGATCTCATCTCTTCAGTTATCTCTGTCACTCCCAAATGAGACCCAGTAACTTAGTTACTGAATGAACTTGAATTCCTTGTGATTTATATGATAAAAGATATGGGCAGCTGATTGCAAATGTTTTTCTCATTAGATGAAAACACTGTGTTTAATATTTCATAATGGGAGCTCACTGATAGGTTATGTAGAAGACAAATTGAATAAAATAATGCTGAGAAATTAATTTATCATTAATGCAGGTGACAACTTCAACAGGCAGCAAGTGCTTTTCATGTCGTTCAGTAGCAGAAAGGGATAAGTGGATGGAAAATCTACGCCGTGCAGTACAGCCAAATAAGGTAAAAAAAACTGACTACAAGGTTCAAAGATGTTGTTGCCTGTTTTGTAAATGAAAACAAAATGGTGCAGATGCTAGAAACTGGAAATAAAAACATGAAGTGCTACAGAAACTCATCAGGTCTGACAACATCTACGGAGAGAAACAGAATTAATGTTTAAAGTTCAATATGACTCTTCTTTGAAACTGAAGAGAAAGTTAGAGAATTGATGGGTTTTATGCCCATCTACATTTATATAAAACCCATAATTTTTCTAACTTTCTTAAGTACAAAAGAAGAGTTGTTTTGGACTTGCAATGTAAACTGTTTCTCTTTCCACAGATGCTGTTAAAATGGCTGTGCTTCTCCAGAACTTTCAGTTTTTATTGCCTCCTTATAACACTCAGTTTTGAGTATCAAATCACAATTTTTCTTTTAATTGAGCTTTACAAAGAGCAGTGTTTTAGACTTTCATGAACTGTTTGATTTAAAACTAGTTAGTGGATTTCCATCAAAGCTACAGAAACAGTTTTATGTAGTCAGTGACTCAGTTTATTTGCCCTCTTGAACAATGATATGGTGCACTCTATTTGCCTGTTTGCTGTGACCATATTACTTCACAAACATGTGAAGCCTTGCAGATCTTCTATACGTTGAATGTTGCCATAATAATAATTAAGTTGTTTCTTCTATGAGCAAAACACAGTTGGCGTAAAACATTAAAAAAAACATCCTTATTGGACGTTCCACTTTAGTTCAGATGTGCATAGAGTGACTAACAGCTCAGAGAAACTATACACATTCTTATGTATTTTCATGTCTGGTGACTAACATTTTGTATCGGCCGGAATTCTGCATTAATTAGTGACTACGAAACTGTCAATGTTAACCATCATTATTCCCCTGCAATTGATGCCGCTTCTGGAATCCACATGTGCAGTTGTACATGTAAGTCCTGTTGCTGTTTATGATCTTATTCTTCTTGATGAACTGCACTATTGAGATTCCATGCAGATTATAATTGTTGGATGTCATTGAATCAACAAAACTTCTACAGTTATGCTCTTAAGTATTTTAATCAATCTATTTAGAGATAATATGATGCATCTCTAGAGCAGGTGGGATGCAAACCTGGGTCTCCTGGCTCAGAGGTAGGGATGCTACCACTACACCACAAGACCCACCCCCCCCCAACTATCATAGATATTTTCTAATCAACCTGTTCAGAGATGTGTGATAATTCTGGAGCAGGTGGGACTTGAACCTGGGTTTCCTGCCTCAGAGGTAGGGAGATTACAGCTGCACCACAGGAGTCCTCAATATACCCTTGGTTATGCTTTTAGGCTTTCTGTACAAATCCTTGTAAATAATATCACTTGTTAAATACATAACTGGGTTTTAACGCCATGCTAAGTTTAAAATTGTTGCTAACAGCCTCACATGTTTCGTAAAAGTTTGGTATAGTTTTTTCTACTTTTGTACTCAAAACCTCTATTTTTGAAGCCGGAGATCCTGTATGCTTTGGTAATTATTCTGTCAGCATGTCCTTACACCTTTTATGCACATGAAGCTCCCAAGACCCCTATCCCAAGACACTACTTAGATCTTGGGCATTAGATCAGATTGCTTCTCCCTCTGCTCAGATGCATCATTTCACATTTCTGCATATTAAATTTCATATCATGTTCAGAATTTAGAAAGTAATACTAGTGAACTGATACAAAGACACGGGTGGTATGCAATGTAGAGTAACATATTTTCAGCCCTTGTTGAGGTTGGGATCACAGGCAGGTGAGAACTAAAAAATAGCCATGATGTGCTGGTTCCTCCTTTTTGCCTATAGGCTATTTTTAAGGAGATTGGGGGTGCTGGTGATGGTGGATGGGAGGAGGGTGTCATTGGTGGCAGGGCTACCCACCTGAATGCATCAGGTATCCAATCCAGTTCACTAAGCTCGTAGCCTCCAGGTTCTTCCAGGTGGCGAGGCCAAGTTGGGTGCATGGAGGCAGTCTCCCATCAGGAGAGGTTCTCTGTCCATGTTGTAAGCAACCACAGGCTGATGTGGCTTGACTACAGAAACGATTTTTAAATTTAAATTTGGAAAAGCTGGAGTGAGGGAGTCTCTATCCTGAAGTGCCCTCTGAATTACTTACTTAGCCTTAACTGCAGCCTGCTGCTTCAATTAAGCTAGAAGGCCACTTATTGGCCCTTAATCTTTTGAGAGACAGGATGGCACACCGTACAGGCCAATTAAAAGTCTGCTTCCTTATAAACCACAGTGAGTGACTGTTTCGCCTGACGGATCGGTTCAGCACTTGCTAACAGTTCCAAACTGTTTTTCCAATGCCAGATAGGAAAATCCTGCAAGGTTTCACTCCTGATGGTTTCAGTACTCTCCAGAGTCAAATTAGAACCTGACTGCCGGGTAAGAAAGTAATGTAAGTAATAAAAAATAAAAATCTGCACCCCTTGGAAATTTCAAACAAAAGCAAACAAGGGTGTTTATGGGGTTTCCTTTTATGTTGGTGTTTTTGCTTCGATGTAGATCCAAACAACTTCATGTCAGGGCAAAAGCAGTGAATTGTCTATTCTGTTAAACTGATTAAGTTCAAACAAACGCATAATCAGCCCTGCAAACCACCAGTCACACAACAAGTCATTAGTTGGGAGGATTACATCAGCCTGCATCGAATCTGCATTTCATTATTATGTGGCCTTGGATTTCAAAATTGTTTTAGTTTTATAAAATAAGCAGATGACACAAAATTGTGTGAAGAAGGTTATTGGATTACAAGGGGACCTTGATCAGATGGGCCGAGAAGTGGCAGATGGAGTTGAATTTAGACAAAAGTGAGGTTCTTGCGTTTTGGCAAGGATATCAAGGCAGGACTTAGACATTTAATGGCAAGATTCTGGGGATTTATTAATGAACACAGAGACCTTGGGTGCAGGTTCATAATTCTGTGAAGGTGGAGTCACAGATTGCCAGAGTAGTGAAGAAGACATTTGGTACACTTGCCTTTATTGGGCAGTGCATTGAGTATAGGAGTTGGGAGGTCATGTTGCAGTTGTACAGGACATTGGTTAGGCCACTTTTGGAATACTGCGTGCAATTCTGGTCTCCCTGCTATAGGAATGATGTTGTGAAACTTGAAAGGGTTCAGAAAAGATTGACAAGGATGTTGCCAGTGTTGGAGGGTTTGAGTTATAGGGAGAGGCATGGTAGGCTGGGGCTATTTTCCCTGGAGCGTTGGAGGCTGAGGGGTGACTTTGTAGAGGTTTATAAAATCATGAGGGGAATGGATAGGGTCTCCCTGCTATAGGAAGGATGTTATTAAACTTGAAAGGGTGCAGGGTTGCTGAGGTTGGAAGGTTTGAACTATAGGAGAGGCTGAATAGGCTGGGGTTATTTTCCCTGGAGCGTCGGAGACTAAGGGGTGACCTTGATGTAAAACCTTGAGGGCCATAGATGGGATGAATAGCCCTTACGTTTCCCTGGGGTGAGTGAGTCCCAAACTAGAGGGCATAGGTTTAAGGTAAGCAGGGAAATATATAAAAGGGACCTACAGGGCAATTTTTTCACGCAAAGGTGGTGAGTGTATGGAATGAGCCGCCAGAGGAAGTGGTGGAGGCTGTTGCAACATTTAAAAGGCATCTGGATGGATATGGGCAAATGCCAGCAAGTGGGACTAGATTAATTTGGAATATCTGGTTAGCATGGACAAGTTGGACTGAAGAGTCTGTTTCCATGCTGTAGAGTTCTGTGATTCTAAGTGAAAACAACTTAGCTGACTGAGTGCAGCTCCAACAACACTGAAGAAGATTGACACCATCCAGGACAAAGCATCCCGCTCAGTTGGCACCATATCCGCAAACATTCTGTCCCTTCACCACCAATGCTCAGTAGCAGCAATATGTACTATTTACAAGTTGTACTGCAGAGATTCAATAAGGTTTCTTAAAAAGCATGGTCCTTAAATGGTATTGGGTTTAAGGAACCCATGACCATTACTGGTCAGAAGGACAAGTGCAGCAGATACATGAGAACCACACTACCTGTGACTTTGCCCCCAAGCTTCATATCATCCTGACTTGGAAATATATCACTATTCTTTTAGTGTCACTGGATTAAAACCTTGGAATTCCCTTTCTAATTGTATTGTGGCACCTCCACCAAACAGACTCGAGCGGTTCAAGGGCAACTAGGGATGAGTAATAAATGCTGGCCGGTGAGTGGTACCCATATCCTGTGAATAAATTTAAAAAATTCAATCAGCTACGGTTATTATGGAAAGCAGAGCAAGCTTGAGGGCCCCAGTGTCACACTCCTTCTCCAATTTCATAAGTTTGTATGGAGCAGTTGGTCAATGTTAGAAAATGTATAGTAAAATATTTCTGTCAGTTGGATAATTTAGCCATGTCAGCATTTACTGCACTGCAGACACAACAGAATGTGTGGCCATAATTTGTGACATGGGTGACATTGCTTGAAACAAACTTCATTTGCAGTTTTGAAGTGGCAGTTCACTCAAAGTGATTTAGGTTGCCCACTGCAAATTTTTATCAATATTTCTGTGAAGTCATAGTGGAAATCAAAAAGAAGGAGTTGGCTTACTATTTGTTTGAAATCCGCTATGATTTCTCACTGTAAGCTGTGTAAAGCAGATTCTATATAAACACAGGCCTGCTGCCAAAGAACAGCTTCATAATTTGAATATATTCCTAAGGCTGCATCATGCAGAGCAAACATGGACTGCAGTAAAATGTGAAAGTATTTGGGTATGAGCATAATCAGATGCTCAGCATGTTAAATTGTACAAAGTAATTGAACCAGTATGTCCAACCTCCAGGGCTTTTTACCAAAAGTGAGAATTTCTTGCTTCCTTGTAAGCAAACAGAACTAGTGATGAAATAGCCTATGAACCTGTACAAAATTATCACCAAAGCTTGAACTTTTTGCTGTGCTAGAAAATAATTTTAAATGGCTTAACATTTCCTCTCTAACGTTCTCTCAAAATTTTCGAATGGCTCCAGTTTAATGTGTTTGATAAATGTTGCGGATAGACTTCGTTGATAGTTGCACTCTCAATAACATGGTGTGCACATCATGACATTATCAATTGTGTGTTTTTTAAATTCAATATTAGGATATGGGCTTCGCTGCTTGCTCATCTCTAACTGCCCTTGAGAAAGTTGTAGTGAGTTGCTGCCTTGAACTGCTGTAGACTATTTGTTCATTTGTTATGGGTGCAACCACAATATTATATTCCTAACTGAAGCCGTTTCTCGATCATACGATGGCAGTCCAAACCCTGATCGATCTCTGACCCTTCAAATCAGAAATCAATTTAGATGTCATCACAGAACATTCCTGTACATCTTTAGCACTGCACTACATGTTTTAACCACTGTTCCAGAGATTCAACCTTTGTCATGCTTCACAAGTGGCCAAGTATTGACTTAAGGTCATAAAGTTGTAACAAATGAGAACAGTAGTAGACATTTTGGACTATTATCTTAATATAGAAATTGGAAAATAATAGCAAGAGTGCACTTCAACAAATGAAAGTTCTGCAGATTTTGAATTTCAGACTGTAGGATTTTATGTATGTGGCGATTGTCTTCTGGTACCTCATTCAAGTAGCTATTTATCGTGTGAAATTTGACAGCCAATATGATTGTGGTGACACAGTATCAATGGCCTAGTAAGCAGCACCAGGAATTCATTGGAGAGAAATGTATTTTCCTAAGATATAATTCTGAGCTGAATTTATTCACACTCTGGTGAAATATTAAAAGCAAGAGTTGATTTGACAGTGTAAGGGGTAATAAACAATTCTTTTAAAAATTACATTTAATGAGTAAATGCCATAAATTTTCAATAGTTAAATATAAGGAGTAATTCTGAGTGTATTCCAAAAGTAGGGAAACACTGTTGAGTGTCAGCAAATTTTAGAGTTGTCATTAGCAGTTTCACAGTATTCCAATATATACATTTTCATTTAAGTTAACTTCATGTTCGTAGGGATTTTGGTTGCACACTCTAATAAAACTGCGACTGATAACATAGCTCCTTAAATCTCCTGCCATGTGTTACTTAGTTTTATTCATTCACGGGATGAGGCATTGCTGGCTCGGCAGCATTTATTGTCCATCCCTAATTGCCCAGAGAGCAGTTAAGAGTATTGCTAATAGGAGAAAGATGACTGGGATCATTTCCCTTTTTCACCATTCAACTGAACAAAGGCAGTGTTTTCTTTTGAAAAAGGTGTTTAATGTCTGAGTGCTGTAGCTGGGAAAAGTAGTCAAATGACAGGTTTCTGGTTTAGTTTGAAAAGAAAGATTATTAATTCAACACCCAAAAATATACAACATTGCACCCACTGTCCCTCCGAGAAAACACTGTGATTTTTAAAAAAGTAGCATGCATTTAGCTCTTGAAAATTCTTTGGTTGCACCCTTTTTTCCCTGGGGTGAACGCTTGAAAACTGTGCAAGTCTGTCATCCTTACGGTCCACTGAAAGAGAGTCTGGAGTTTTAGGAAGCTAGATTCAGTGTGGTTTATTGCTTGCTTTGGTTTCTAATGGTGGGACCATTTTCAAACAGTGGGATCTGAGTTTAGCCCATTCACATAACATCATGATGGAACAGAGTCTTTTCACACCCGTTCTCTGGATTTCAACTCAGGCCTAAGTCTGCAAGCAGTCTTGTGATTTTTATTGATAACTTGGAAAACGGCAACCATTAAACTACAAGAAAATTATTTTCAATTTTAATCAGAAATATGTCCAGAAAGATCATTTGAATTTTGAAGATTTGTCCAGATACGAAGGTTATCTTGGGGTCTTGTTCCTCGTGTATTAGCAAGCAAGCAAGAAAAGTCACTTGACCCCTCAACTCCATTTTACTTGAAAGTAATGTCCATTTTGAATTTATTGTGTGAGCGTCACATAGGGGCTGCACTGGCAGAATATAAGAACCATTTTGTCTTTTTTTTAATAAGCTGTCCTCCAATTAATTAAGTCTATATGTGATCAGTGTTTGATTTTCACTGATGCTCAAGGGCTGGTACAGCACTACTGTCCTGAAACCCAAAGAATATCAAAATAAAGCCTTCACAGAATAAGTGTTTAAGCAGAATATATCTAAATAGATATAAGCAGTGCCTGGAGATGATACTCTAGAAATTATTTTAGTTGGATGATTCTGTGATTCTAGTATTAGCAGATAAGTGCCGAACAATGATATAGTATTTCTGTTTCCCTCTTGAACACACAGGCGTAACCATTAAAAAGGTTAACTATTTTTGTTGAAATAGTCAATATCAAAATATTATCCAATCATTTTAACATTTGTCTATTTATATCATCAACGTTTATTTGCTAGGCTATTGATCTTAAACAAAATCTGGATTTCTTTTAATTTATGTGAGTTTCTGCCTCCATTCCTCCATTTATATTTGGTGCATAGGCTCAAATATAGTTCAGTTTGATGATATGATTATCAACTAAAATTAATAGAACAAAATTGCTATTTAACTTTTTATTTGAGTGTAGCCTAAAGAATACAATAGGATAGTATGGTACTGGATTGGAAACCCAGATATGATATATTTTAATCCTACTGTAACAAGTTGTGAAATAATTAGAATATATCTGGTAATTTGTGGTTCCTGGGGAAAATGATCCTGTCATAAAAATCTATCTGGTTCACTAATGCTGCTCAAGGAATAAATCCAATCCAACCACTTTACTTGGTCTACATTTTTGACATTTAATGCCTTTTGAGGTGGCTTAGCAAGCTGTTCATTTTAGGGATGAGCAATAATTGTACACTTGGCAGCCCACATTTGTGAGACTGTTAGGTTGATTTAAAAATAATATCATAAGGTAATGGACCGCCTCTGAAAGTGTTGCGGTAGACACTGCACTGGGAAATGTAAGTTGATTCATGAATTTCTGATTTTAATTGCATTTCTCCAAGGATAGGTTGATTCCAGGTAGGTAGTACTTCCTTAACAAAATATAGCAAATGGCCAACTGCTGGCTGCTGTCATATGCCCTTGAGTGAAGTTTGCTCACCTGCCCTCTCAGCAGTATGGAGGATTGACAAAAAATGCAGGCATGATATCTATACACAAATTACCATATAAAGACACCTTTTTATTTTCTGTCAGGAGTAGATTAACCACTTCATCCAGCCATGTTAAGTTAATGCCGGTTAACCAGATGATTAATCAAGAAATGGAAAATCCGCTTGGTTCATTTTCTTTCTTAATTAAGAGTAATGTCAGAAGTAAATTGTTAATAAAAGTGGGATTTATTTTGATGTGTTAGAGATTATTACTGCTGGGTATGGTGATACAGTAGTTGGTAGATCTCCAAAATTATGATGGTGCTAAGAGGAATCCTAATCATGAAAGCTTATAACTGTAATGAAAAGAATGAAGAGCGTCTTATCAGTGGTTCAGAGTAATTGTTATTGTTCCTTACTTGTGTCTTAGGACAACAGCAGACGCGTAGAGAACCTGCTCAAACTATGGATTATCGAAGCCAAGGATCTGCCAGCCAAGAAAAGATACTTCTGCGAACTCTGCCTTGATGATACGCTGTATGCACGGACTACCTGCAAGCTGAAAACGGACAATGTTTTCTGGGGAGAGCACTTTGAGTTCAGTAACCTGCCCGCAGTAAGAAACATTACAGTGCACTTGTATAAAGAGACTGATAAAAAGAAAAAGAAAGATAAGAATAACTACGTGGGTCTGGTGAACATCCCAATTGCAACTGTGACAGGGCGACAATTTCTGGAGAAATGGTACCCTGTGAGCATGCCCAACCCAAGCAAGGGCAAATCAGTGGGGCCGATGATTAGAATCAAAGCTCGCTATCAGAGCATGAGCATTCTTCCAATGGAGCTCTATAAAGAATTTGCCGAGTACATTACAAATAACTATATGCTGTTGTGCTCAGTGTTGGAGCCTGTGTTGAGTGTCAAAAGCAAGGAGGAGATGGCTTGTGCATTAGTGCACATTCTGCAAAGCACTGGGAAGGCTAAGGTAAGCACTGAGGTTAAAATATTTTCCATTTTTAAGCATTTGAACATTTTTCCTGTTTCAGCAAAACATTCATGGGGAATTGAATATATTCATTCATAAAGAGTTAAAAAGATGGCATTGGTCTGTGGTCCAAAATCTATATTTATAAACGTTCAGGTGAAATAATCTGTAGTGATCCCACGGATCAGTAGATGCACAAATTGAGGTTTAGAATAGGAGGGATATATGTCTGAATTTATATATTTATTAAGCAGTTGCCAATTTATTTCTATAGAGTGAGCAAAAGAAAATAAAGGAAAGGATTAAAATCATTCAAATTTGAAAGATTAGAATTTGGTGAAACAAATGAAGAAAAAAAACATTCCTTTTAGTTTGTGTTTCATTCAGATATTCCCCAAAAAAAAGTACCCTTTCATAGTTGTATTGTCTTGCTCTCTGTATCGCTCTCTTTCTCTTCCTTTCTTCCTTTCTTTTTCTCTCCTCTCTCCTCCTTTCTCCTCTCTCCTCCTTTCTCCTCTCTTTTTCTCTCTCTTCTCTCTTTCTTTCTCTCTGTCTACTTGATTAAATAATCCTCAAATCATTTCCTAATTCCTATTTAGTAATATTTATAATGGTATTGGCATCATGGGCAAAGCAGTTTCACTCATTTAAAATGTTCTGCAATCTCTCCGATGTTGCAAAAGAAGAATACATAATTTTAATTTGCTTACAGGATGGTCAATTGAAACGTAGACTGTAACAGAGGTTTCTTTCATACACCTGTATTATAGACATATATGTAGAGATATTGCCCTGGATTTTCATCCCACAGGTCAGTAGCTAGAGTCAGAAAAATTCTTGACTTTGCCCACCCACCTCAAGAGGTGTCAGAAAACGGCTGCAGAGCCATGATTTGCACTGTCTGTGGATGATGACAGGTGTGGGCTCCGGCAAATAAATGTATGAATTAGGAGCAGGACACTTGGCCCTGCAAGTGCACTCCACCATTCAATAAAATCATGATGCCAGCTCCACGTTCTCGCCCACCCCAATAACCGGTCAATCAATCCTGGAAAGAGGTTGGAGGCAGCGGCAGGGGCTGCTGGATCCTAAGGAAGGCTGTAAAGGCTGATAAACATTGTCCCAGTTGCAATGGAAAAAGTAACATGTCACAAACCTTCACCCTCACACACTCCTCATGCCCTATCAATGCCAGCATATGCCAGTTGCTCACATTCCATGACCCCTCTTACCTCCTCCATACCAAGCTATGGCACTTCCATGACCATTCACCCACTTTACACGATATAGAACCCTCTTGAGACAATAGAGTGTACTAAACATTTTCAAAGGAAGTAATTCATTCATTACTTTCCATAAATGTCAATCACCACAGTCTTTAAAATACCAATATCAAAAACTCTTAACCTTATGCAAATAAATGTTGAGCAATTGACAGCATGATCAGAGATGCAGAGCTGTCAATCAAACAGTGTTTTACCTGCGAGTGTGGGGGGGCTCATCTATTTGCACAGTCTAATGGATTACCCAAATCTGCGCCATTAAAAGATACTGCGAGAAGACAAAAACTGTGGGAATGAGATCAGGAATCCCAAAATTAGGACCTGCTTGCCATTTTGAAAGAAGTCCCTAATCCATCCCAAATTGCTGAAAATCCAGGCTATTACTACTGCTTAGTCACAGCTGTAAGTCTTTGCATTTATATACTTTTTATAAATTTTCATAAATTTTATAAAGATTCACTCACGACCTTTGGGATAACATAGTGCTATGACATTTACTGAGATTTAAATTAGTGATGAGGATAACAATAACCTAATGAATGCTCCAGTTCATTGTGCTTCCAGACTGTAACTCCTGGTTTCACAATGAACACCATGGATATCACTGGAACTGTGAGTTGCATTACATTCAGTGCAGATTTGAACATTTATTGTATTCTTGGAAATTGTGAGCTTAGCGCATAATTTGAGTGGATCTAACAAAAATAATGAAATAAAGGGATGAAAAACAATGGAATGTTGCTGAATCTTTTTTCATCTTGTACTCTCCAGGAGTAATGCCAGAATTATTCAGGAATTTAGTGAGCCTTTAGTTCTTCCTCAATGGCAATGCCCTGGCTAGTCCGCACTCTCTTCCTATAGTATAAATTATTATCATTTGAAATTTGGCATTCTTGCATTTGTCCTGATGATATCCTGATGTTGCATTTGGCAACATATCTCTGTTTTCAACACTATTTAAGTTCTGTACTAGCAAGTGAGCAGTTTCTCTTATGGAATGAATAATCAGTGCAATATATGGTAGTCATTCAAGCCAGAATTTGACTGATAATTACATGGAGAAATTTCTCTACACATTGTTGTCGCTACTGAAGACTTACATGAGTTTATAAAACATTCTGAAGTCATTGTTAATCTAAATAAAGAGATTTGATTGATACGTTATAGAATAACTAGTTTCCTTACACTCCAAGACAGTTAATGGTGTTTGCTGATTTCGTGAACAACTGTTTGCTGTATAAACTGAGAACTAACAAGGGCAATGCGATGGAGTGTGGAAAGTGAGCTTGGCTTTAATTACCTTTAAAGCCCTTTATTCCCCAGCATATTACAACAAAATATCTTGCTAGTCTGAAATCTAAGATAGAGACTAGCTGAACCAATGGAGCATTTATTATCATTCTCTTGGATATATGAAGCAATGAGCAGCTATTGTCATTGGTTGCTTGCTCATTACCTGGATATAGATTTAATTGCTCTGTGATCACTCAAATAACATAACTTCCATAGTGATAAGCACTTCAGTCTTAAACTGCACTAGGGAAAATATGTTGACTAATTATAATTTGCACTAAGACAACTGGTATTTAAGTGAATTGTTCCGTATTATTCTCTGCTAAGATAATTATTGAATGCACTGATACATCATTAATAATTTTAATTAAAGGGACGTTTCCTGCATTAAGTTAATTGCTGAACTTCATATGCCTAGGCAATCCTCTGTATGTTACAAACACAAAGAAGTAGTACAGTACTTTTGCAATACCTGACTGACCTTGCTACTATTGCTACACAACTCTGCAGCCATTTCTTCTATCACTCTTTATTCTAATCCTGCAAGTTTGATTGCAAATTGTCATTTCTACTGAGACTGTGCCACCATTGTGAAAGTGCAACTTTGGTCATGACTCATTGCCCTCTATCTTAGATATGTTGTTTGCTGATTTTAAGATTGTTGACCATGCAAATCATTTTACCATTTCTCACAGCTCATACTTCTGTGCAGCTCTGCACCATCCAGGTTCCATTATTATCTTCCCTACTGAAATCACTTCATTTCTATTATTTTTCCAAAGATTAGCGCTTCATGTTCAGTCCTCTTTAACATGTAAACGCTAACATTTTGTTGCGTTATCCATAAACATAGGGTTAACTTTTATACATTTATGATGGCTCTTAACTTTATCTCCCAACCTCCCCCCAATTGATTTCAGAACTATCATAGTTCCAGCCTGACTGACTGTTATTAAAGCCTAGGTCAGCTATTTATTCCAACTCAGTGTAAATAGAACTAAAGTTGCCAGTCGGTTTCTGCCTACACATACAATCTTCTGGCACCACATCTGAAAACTCTCCCAGTTGTCCCTCTCAGTGGATGAAGATGCAGTTTCTGCACTTTAACACAAATTAACCTCTATGTGCCATCTATAGGCAGTTTGTAAAATTGCATTCATATATGAGGAAGTCCCCTGTTTTTCTCTCCATCACTGAAGTATTAGTCTGTATTAATCAAATATTAAGTAATTTTTTTAAAAGCAGTTCAAAGAAGGTTCATTGACTCATTCTTAGGATGAAGGGACTGTCTTTAAAAAAAAGTCATTGCACAGGTTGGGCCTCTGACCTTTGGGCTTCAGAAGAATGAAAGGTGATCTTAGGGGAATAAATAAGAGCTTGAGGGCACTGAATAAGGTGGATACCAGGAATGGGTTTTCTTGTTGTAGAAGAGACCAAAATGAAGGAGACTTAAAAATGAGGGACCCAATTTAAGACTAAGAGGCCCTCTTAAAACAGAGATGAGGAGTTTTTTTTTGGTCATTAGAGTGTCAAATTCTCTTCCCAGAAATTTATGGAGGCCGTGTTTTTTGTTTCATTTTCTTTAAGGCTGAATTAGATAGATTAGCTGGGGTGGAGCTAAGACCACACTAGATCAGCCATAGTCTTATAGAATAGTGGAACAGGTTCGAAGAACCAATGGCCTGCCCCTGCTTCTAAACTCAATGTTCTTGTTAATCCATGCCTTTGTCACACCATGGATCAATTCTTGAACGCCTACCCTTCATAATCTCACCTTTGTGAATTTCACTGTTATCTTCCCAAATGCTTTTTCATGTGAGTCTCCAACAATCTTTTGGTTTTAACATCATTGAACATCATTGTCCTTGTTTAGAAACACTTCCATGGATCAGCCGTCTCTATCTAAGTGTACTCCTTCAGTTATCAGTCACAGAATGTAACCTGCACTGCTTTTATCCCTACTCCTTTCACGCCAGTATTGGTATGTAATCTATCAGTCATGGAGAACAACTCCCATTGTTCTGGAATTATCTGCCTAAATCACTCTACTGCTGTATTTCTTTGACTTTTTCTTAGAGCTTTCTTCTATCATGCATTTAGTCTTCCCAAACTATTGTCCTCAATGTCCTTGAAATGCTCTTCGATGTGAGTTAGATTAAACAACTAGAAAGAAAATGAAGAACTTATTAAATGATGAGAGAAATGAAGAACAAACTAGAAGGGAAGAAACTGATTCAAGAATGTCTTAATTAGAAGCAATTTCAAAATCAAGTAATCAGATTATTGCTCCAGGTTGTTAAAAGTGAAATCCATTGTCTTTTAAGATGATATTTAAAAAGGAGAAATGTTGGTGTTGAGTATTCAATAACCGACAGAAGAGTTAGCAGAGATTTACTGCCAGGTGATGATAGATGAGATGTAAAT